TACTCTCTGTGTCACTTATATCTGTTCTGTCCCTTGAAGTTTGTTTTGATATGCCTTTCAAAAGGATCATATACCATTTCATTATATATGTATCTTGACTCAGCTCTTCATAACTCCAGATTCCTTTAAGTATATGGCTTTTTGGTGCCCAAACTTGTACTTTTAATATTGTAAAAGCATGAGCACTTTAGAACTAGAATAAAAATTCTTAAAGCGAGTTTCATCATCTTCTCTGGATTAGCTACTCAATGTCAGCAACTTTAACTTCCCATGTGAGTTATTAGAATGTTTAGATACCAACCTAAATATGAAAAACTTTATTTTGAAATAAAATTGAAAATTTAAATTTAAAATTTTGATTAAAAGTACAATGATATGAGGAAAAGGATTTTTTTTTTTTTTTAATGATAACTCAGCAATTCTTTCTTTGGTTCCTTACATGGAGGAGTAACTTGTATATGGAAAAAAATGCAAAGTGCATTGATCATAGTAGAGTTGGGTGAACTGTTCATATGTTTGCTCATGTGTCAACAATCCAGGTCAAGTAGACGACTTCTAGCACCCCAAATGGCTTCCTATGTTCTTTCTCATTCAATATTGTCTATCAGTGAGAACTACTATTTTGATTTCTAAAGCCATACATTAGTTTTGTCTATTACTGAATTTCATAAAAATTGGGTCCTGATGCTTCTATTGTATCTGACTTTTGTGCTCAATATTTTACATGTGAGATATAACCATTATGTTTCGTGTGGTTGTGGGCAGTGCGTTCTTACAGTGTGTAATATTTTGACAGCGGAAATCATGATTCAACATTTACATTATTTGTAGCAAAACATGAGAAAGATAATATATGTTAATATCAATATGTTAATCTATATGCTAAACAGTTTATGATAATAAAATCTTGAAACTAAGAAAACATATTTTACAAAAGCATTTTTAACATGATGCACTTGCTTTGTATTTCATTTTTTGTTTTTATAATTTTCTTTGTATTTTGGTAATAAAGTGTTTTGTTTACTTTCTCTCTCATGACTAGAGTTATTATTTTCATTTTTCTAGGAGAGACTATGAAAGAATTGATTGTTCCCCTGAGTTCTATTTAAGATGTACTTTCATTTGTAAAATGAGATGTATTCTTTATATGTTCTTTATATGTAGTATTTACAATACATGAAATTATCAGTAATTAAATAAAGGATAAAAGAAAATACAGTTTTTACGCTGGATGGTAACTGAAGTCTGAACATGCATTATGAGTATTATCTAACATACTTGTTAGACCATAAAAAAAATCAATATTAAAAAAATCACCTGATATAAAACAATGACTAACAATGCAGACATTACTGATGAAACCTTATTGTCAAAGATAAAAACTATTATAATGAACAAATGAAAACTTAGGATTGATCAAAATGAGGGAAAAATAAGACAGATTATTCTTAAAACTGCACACAGTTCAAACTTCAACCCAAGAAAATTTAACTATGCAGAAAAAAAAATTCCTAAAATTTACTCAAAATGGAAGAAGTTATATTTGGTAAAATCAGATGTAATTTAATAAATTGATAAATGTTTTATTGAAAATACATTTAGAAATAATTTACCCAGAAGAGTGTTTTGTAAACTTCAAATAAAAATAGATAAAATTAAAAATTATCAATCAGAAATCAGTTCTATAGCAAACAACTAAAACCTGCTTATAATCAGTATAACTGGTGAATGTTTGTTTCATGTAACAAAGTGTAAATTTAACTAAATTTGGTTTGGACCGCAATACTGAAAAGAATCAACCTTCTTCTATTTTCATGCTCCAAGACTTATAATAGTTAATATATTGTATTCTTCAGGATGGTAAGGTAGTTGCTGCTTCTCCAGTAATCCCAGCCACAAACAAGGTAGAAAAATAGAGAAGAAAAAAGACACAAAGTACAAAACCAAAGCAGCATTCTAGCTAAGTCTATCCCTTGAAAAGAGCTCTCCTATAATACTCCTCTGTATCTTCCTTTTATATTCACTGGCTGGAACTAGATCACATGGCCACTCTTAGCTGCAAGACAGCGGGACAAGTGAGTAGTACAATTTTCCCATGTGGGTAGCAGAGGAATGTAGAGGAGAAGGGGACTCTGAATGATTTAGGGCAAGCAATTCAGTGTCTACTATAAGGTTCCACTGTTCTCTTTGGAAGTCTGAACAAAAGATTAAATTGGCCTAATTTCACCTTACAGTAAAAAAAAAAAAAATTGTATTAAGGTTTGAATAGTTTTTTCTAAATATCCTTCATAAACACAGTAAAAAAAAAAAATTCACATTGTAAAGTGGCAGAGTAGACACTGGTCCAAATGATGGGCAAAAAATGGGAACAAGTTTCTAAACACTTGCTAATTGTAAAAAAAAAAAAAGCAGGATTTTAAACCTCTTTAGTGATAATCAATGAAATTACAGAGTACAGTAAAAACTTATCAATTTCAGAATCCATGAAAACAAATTATTTAGAGAAATAGTGGAAGCCACGGTAGATGGTCTTCCTATAATAATGCATCAAATATAGATGGAGGGCTACTAATTTCTCCTAAATGTTAATTGTCTTTAATTTTGTAGCTGTTTAGTGCCCTGTATCATGAGTACATGGAGATAATACTCTGTTTAGTTTACTTGTTGGTGATAAGTTTGTATTACTTGTCTTGCTGACTTTATCCATGTTGACATACACTGCTTTGCTTTGCTATCTCACGTTTTCTGTTAGTTTGTTTGTTTTGCTTTCATGACAGCTTGCCAGTAAGTGATAGGAGAAAGATAATAATTTTATTTCCTTAAAATATTTATAATCTTTATTTATCTTATCCTTAGGAACCATTCAATTTTCTTTTGTTAAGGACATGATGCTCTGTACTTATCTATTTCTAGCTGATATTTTTATTTTAAGGTCTCTGGGGATTTGTTTCTATTACTAGCACCCATGGAGAGAAGCAGAGTATCTCTTTACCTAATTTCATAGCAAGTCATTAAATTCTTCTTCTTCTTTTTTAAAGATTTTATTTATTTATTTGACAGAGAGAGAGAGAGAGACAGAGAGAGAGAAAAAAACAAGCAGGGGAAGTAAGAGAGGGGGAAGTAGGCTTCCCACTGAGCAGGGAGCCCTGCTCAGGTGATCCCAGGGTCCCAGGATCATGACCTGAGCTAAAGGCAGATGCTTAATGACTGAACACCCAGGTGCCCTTTCAAGTCATTAAATAAATCTTCTTGAGATAGTTTTGAAAGATGTATTATTTCCTATATTGATGTTCATAGATATGCACTATTGATACTGAATTTAATAAAATTTGAAGAAACATACGAGGAACTACCGTTTTCTTAAATTCTAGTGACACCTAATAAAAACCATATGTATGCACAATAAGAGTATGCCGTCTAAATAATCACTACTTGAAAGGATTATTGAGTTCATAGAATCAAATGGATTTTGTGAAAATTTCTTTTTTTAATTGCTGACAGATCTTTTTATTTTACTCCAAGAAATGGGGGTCTTTATTAGATAAATAAGGAGTTTTTCCCCCCTAAAGCATGAAAGAGGAAACATTCATTCTGATATTAAATAATGTGGTTTTTGTATTACCACTCATTTGAAAGTTTGTAAAAATGGTATTATGTATAAAAAATTTATTTTTCTTTCCAAAGGCCAATGAATCCAGAACCTGGAGAATATGAATTAATTTTAGGGATTTTACTAAAGACTATTAACATATGCCTTGTTACTTCCAGGATTCATTCTGTTATCTGAGGCAGCATTAAATACCAGGTGATTTCTCTTCATAGATCCAGTAAGAAGTAACATGGAAAAAAGTAGAAAAAAAAAAGAAGCAGAAACTGGAGTTGTTTGAGGCACTCCTTGCATTCAGTGAAAAGTCCCAAATGTCCTGCTTGTGTGAAGAGTCCTTAGAATATATATCAGAAATGTGTTTATGTGCTACTATGTGTACATGAGAGCATGTGGGCTGTAGACCTTGGGGTTTGGTATGCATAAGGAACCTAGGGTTCTCAAAATAAAAGTAGTTAGATATATTGGGGAAGATGGGATCCTCCAGTGCCAGGATATCAAGATGCATAAATCACCTGTTACGGCTCCCAACACTATTTTGGTTGGTTAAGAACCACAACTTGGGAATTCAAACCTTGGACGGAAAGATCAGTAGGTTACATAATGGTTCATTCCTTCATTTACCCAGCAAATAGCTGCAAGGAAAAAGTCAACAAAATTCCCACTATCCTGGGCTTATATTCTAGTGGGGGTAAATGTGGAAAAGACTGGAAGTAATACATGTAGAAGGGGAAAAGTTCTTAAAAATTATACAGATTGATATGATGAGGATGCATTTTTTTTTTAATTTCTTCTAATATTCCAAGGTTGAGGCAAAATTAAAATCTTACTCTCTGGGAATCTGCTCTCAGAATTTGTTCCACAGAATAATAGTTAAGTCTGATGTAATGATTCATAAAAATAAGGAAAAACAATCTTTTAAAAAATTGGGAAACATTGGGATAAACAAAATTAAAAAGTTTTGTTTTTGTTTTTGTTTTAACCATATGACTTCTCAGAGTTTAAGTTACTAAAGTGCATGGTAAGTCACTATGGGAAAAAATAAATAGTCTACATTGATCTCAAACTCATTTGACTGTAACAACCTTTTACTTCTAAGGGAATCTCATGAGGACAGTTTCCATTTGAGGAACTACTGCTTTAATGCAGACCCAGAGAGGCCTGTAAAGTCCCAATACAGGCTGAGATGCTGACTGAAATCCTAAAATATGCTATGGTCACAAGGTGCTTAATATTAATTTCATTCTTCTGAGCACCTAAGACTACATTTTTGAGACACGGCATTTCAGCTGAGACCAGCTAGGCTCTTGTCAACAGATGGGAAGTGAAAGTGATGTATTTGCCTGTCCATATGAAATCCTGCTTGATCTCTCACATTTTCTCTTCTCTTGTCGCCATGGCCCTGAAGGCTATGCTGAGGCTGGTGGCATCACAGGATGATAGGATCTGGATTGCAGAGTCACTGTCTGGTGTACATCTGCATAGGACAATGGTCTAATCTTACTTGTACTGAGTAAGAAACTTAATGTCATAAGCCCTGAAATTATGGAGTCTAATGTAACTGCATCATTATCTGGCCAACACTGCAATTCCATTTAATTCAACCCACTGAAGACATACCATGTTCCTAATATGGGAATGTTTCCAAGGCATTCTGTTAGTAACACAGCTGTTAGTAGCACAAAAAACAAATGAGCCAATATTCTGGCCTTCAAGGATTAGCAAACACAGATGGCTCACACTCTGGCTCACTCTAGCGTTTTAAAACACAAGCCTTTTGTTTTGGCTGTGTTGGCTTCAGATTGCATTCTGGCCCTTCTCCCCTCTTGCAATAGTCTTAAATAAGGTTTATTCCTCACCTGTTTAACTTTACCAGTGCAATTTTTGCTTGACAAACTAACTACTAATATTATGCTTTAAATCGGGAAGTATGCTACTTGTCCCAAAGTGTCTATATGTCCTTCTGAACGAGTTATAACAGAAAGATACCTTATAGTCACATTCTGGCTTTGTGTACCTATTGTTCATGGTGGAAAATATACTATTAGTGGCTTTCAGTATTTTCGACCCACTGTTTAGGACACACGACTTCAGTTCAAGACGGTTGGGCATAGTGGACCAGCTGGGCTGCTCTGTGAATCCTTGCCTAGACTGTCACCCTGATAAGACAAAGCCTAGATATTGAACCTGGGCCTATTTTCTGAGGATGGGGGTGGAAACCGTAGTTACGCATGCTAGACTATCAGAATGCAGAGTATGGAGTTGAAATGGGATGAAATAAAATTGGAAATTAAAAGCAAATTCAGGAGACATTTGCTGACCCTGGAAGGCATCTTCATAGTGTCCCCATGGATTGGCTCTGGGTAAAGAGCTCTTAGGGGAGTTGTATTGTCAGATAAACTCTCCTAGCCCATTCCATTTTCTCTTCTGTGAATTGTTCTACGAACCCATGCTCTTGGTTTCTGCACACTGGCTGCTCTGCAACCACTGCTGGAAAAATCCAAATAGTATGGCAGGTGAGTACTGCTAAAATAAAATTAGGGCTCTACAGCTTATTCTGAACTTTGCTATTGTTTAATTAATTTTAACTGTTGTCATATGTTTGTTTTTTTCAATTTTCTAGTGTGGCTCATCTAAGTCTTTTTCTTTTTCCTCATTTTCAACAAGATATAAAAGCTCAATGGAATAAAGTCACAGTATGCTCCTCACCTCTTCTCCGCTAAATTTATTTTTATTTGAACATATTTTCCTTTTTTTTCCTCCTCCAGTCCCAAAGCATTCCTTTTCCCCTACCTTCACTGAGACCTTATTTCATTCTTTCATTTCCTCTCTTTAATATTTTAATTCATCACCTGATTCTTTCCAATTAGCATAATTATTTTCCCTCCCTCCACTTTCCATTCTTTCTCTCTACCTCCCTCTTTATGTATTTACAACCCCCAAACACACACATACACTTTATGCCTCTTCTATTTTTTTAGTAGTTTTTCATTTTTATTTTTATACTACTTTATTTTTTAGCTTTTATTTTTACTACTATTTTTTAGCTTCCTCTACAATTTTTTTAGACCTGCCTTCATGGTAGGTCTTTGGAAAGAGTAATCTACATTTGTTATCGTCACTCTCCTACTTTCTTCTTAATCACAATTTATTGTCATTTTGCTTCTACCTTAAGTCCACTGAAACTACTACTGCCATCAGTGCAAATGATCTTCCTTGTACTAAAGCCAATAGATCAGTTTTTATCATTTTACTTTATTTTATTTTATTTATTTATTTTTGATGCTTTGCCCATTTTGGTAATTTTCTTCTTCCAGCTCTCTCTTTCCTTGATTTGTACCATAGAATTAAATCTTCATTCTCTTCCTATTTAATTGTCTTTTTTTTTTTTTTTTTGGTTTTTAAATTATTGTTGTAGTTGTTTCCTCTCCTTCTACCTATGTTTATTCAAGTACTGAATTTTGATTTGAGGTTCTTTCTCTAGCCCTGTCCACCTTTTCATATTCATACCCTCTGTTGGCCACATATTCATTGCCTGTGTGCATCTTTGAAATCTATTCCTTCCTTTATATTCCTTATCTGGGATACTGGCCTGTTCATTCACAACTCAAACAAAAAACTAAGAAGGATTAGAAACCTAGAATATCCTTGTGTGATACTGTGATTTATAATTAGGAATATATAATTGGTCCTCATCATGGTTCCAGGCACACAGGTCTTAAAACCCTCCCAATTTTCAATACAAGAGCCAGAGAAACCTTATTTGTTATAATACTTAGTTTTGTTCCCTGTTCCTGAAATAGCTCCAGAGCAATACAAGTGAAATGGATGTTTTTTGTTATTTATAACAAGCCTCTTTCAACCATACCTGTTTATGTTAATATTGTGACAGTTAGAAAGTCACTAAGGAGAAGGAATGGTTGCCAGGGAAACCAACCTAGTGATTAGAGGGTTGGGATTAGGAGACTCCAGGTTGGTGAACAGGAGATGATGGGAGAGTAACACACCCAGAACAGGTAGGGAAGCTCGGAGCCCCTTCCATATAACTTGCTCTATGCATCTTTTCCATGTGACTTTTTCTAAGTTAAATCATTTTATAATAAACTGGAGATCTAGAAAGTAATATTTCTCTGAGTTCTGTGAGCCACTTTAGAAAATTAACTGGACCCAAGAGGGGATCATGGGGCCCTTTGATTTATAGCTAGGAGCACAGGTAACAGCCTGAACTTGCCATCTGCATCTGAAAGGTGTCTAGAAGCAGTCTTATAAAACAGAACCTTTAACCTGTGGGATCGGACTCTATCTCCTGGTAGAAAGTGTCAGACAGAATTGAGTTAAATGTGTCACAACTGTTGGCAACATATGCACTCAAATCACTTCTTCTTTTAATCTTCTTTATTTGAATGACTAGAACCCCTTTGCACAGAGCAATCCAAACATAAAATCTGAAGAATACTGAAAAATTAATTATATATATTTTTACAACTCCTATATCTTCTTGGTAAGAATTCCTTAAAATGAAAACTTCTGCTGCACTCCCAGTCTCTCTTACACTATTCTATTTTCCAACATAACATACAATTTACTTTTTTAAAAAATTATTATCTATAAACTGTAAGCTTCCCAAGGACAAAAATGTTTTGACTTTTAGTCACTGAAATATCTTAAGGATCTAGACCCTAACCCCTATCCTAACCCTAGCCTGGCACATTTCAGTGACTCAATAAATATTTGTATAAAGTGAATTTGTAGAAAGAATGAATATTTGTAGACTGTAGAATGTGTGGTGTAAATGCATTTTTTTCTCAGTTGCTCTTACAGCTTACACTTCTTTGAGGTCATGGGTGCTTATTAAATATCTGTTGAATGAATTGATGACAACTAAACAACTCAATTTCCATAAACAAAATTTTCATGGACTCCTCAGTGCCATGGATTTTAAGTGAGATAAACTAAGTAGACATAATAGCCATCATAAACTACAGAAATTATACTACGATTTAGATTTTGTCGTTTCTGCTTGAATTTTATTTTCTAATTATCTAATAAGCAACAGATACTCTGTCATCAGTAACTGTCTCATCTATATGTGGTGGTAATAAATATATCAAACATTTTCATAAAAGACTTAGGCATGTAATTTCACTCTATCCTTTGATCTGGATGACAAATGAAGTCATATTTTGTTAAATATGCATCAAAGTTTGATTTTACAAATTTCATTCATAAATTAGCCAGATATGTTTTACTCCTAGTAGTCAAAAGTTTGGATATGAGAAATTATTATTATTACTACTAATAATAAAGACAGTGTGCATGCACCAATGGAGGGAAGGGACAGATGGAGAGAGAGAATCTTAGGTAGGCCCCATGCCCAGTGCAGAGTGGTTGTGGGGTTCCATCTCATGACCCTGACCTGAGATCAAAACTGAGTTAAAACCAGAAGTTGGATGCTTAACCGTCTGAGCCACCCAGATGCCTTAAGAAACTATTTTTTAACACATTTTTCATTCTATTTGAAAAATAAACTTTATTTAAAATGCAACATATCTGACTTTCCTGAATCTGCTGTCATTTATCATAAGTATTTTTCAACTCCAGTTGAAAATATTGGAGACTATATAATCTGTCATCCAATTTGGGACTTATTTAAGAGTGAAAGAAGACACAACTAATTATTCTGGGGTTCTGGGTTTACTTAGACTGTCCTTAGGGAACAGGGATTTCAGATAACTTATTGTTAAATCATTTCATTTGCATTTTGGTCCATGATAAGACAGTAGCACAGTTCAATTACACAATGGTTTTCATATAAACCATTATAAGCTAGAAGAATAATTGATGATTTTCATGTTTTGCTTCAACCAAAATGTAATAAATATCGTCTTCTCAGCACAGCTTACCATGTTATCTCAAGTGGTTAAAATATACATATGAATTTTTTAAAAAATAATTTAATATGATTTATAAAATAAATTTATCCAATGATCATTACATTCAAGCTATGATAGGTATTTCAGGACCCAAGAGCAGTAAGGGACTACTAAAGTACAGTGTTTTGTGAGGATGGTAATATTTTATTGCCTTTACTTTGGTCTAAATGCCAGAAATCAAACTATGATGAAATGAATAAGTTTTTAGAGGATAGATATTTTAAGAGAAGTGAGTCCAGTCAGTATATATGAACAGAAACCAGTGTTGCCGAACAGTGCAGAAGAATAGAGGAGCTCCATGTCATTTGTTTTGCAAAGGGAAAAAGTGACAAGGACAATTCTGATTGATTTCATAGTTTGCTCATTCTTAGATCTGTCTATGGGTTAAATATTATTAATCTTTAAGAAAGCCACTCTTTATAATTCACTTCTCTTTTTACTTAAACAAATCTTGTTTCAAAGAGCAAAAAGTTACATTTATCCAATTCTTTAAATTTTAACATACTGTTTTCTATTTCTACAGGTTTGATTGCATGTA